CAAGATTTTTCATCAGAATCCTTTTTGGATAAACATGTCAGATATTGATGGAGTTGTTTGTCACAGCACAACTTGACAAATTGACAATGTATTGACACAAAAATCAGTCCTATTTTCGTTGACGTATTTGATGTGTTCTTTAACTTCTTTTCTTTATTTCTTTTCCTCTCCGCCTTAGGGATTAAGTTTTGTTTTCCGTTACCTTAAGGAATTATCATGAAAACAGGGTTAAGAAGCACAATAATTGGCACTGATAATTCTAAGCTTCATTAATACTAAGACATATGACAAAGAACAAAGTTATTAGAACAGTTTAAGATGATGAGCTTTACGACAGCAGCAACAGTATTCCAAACCGCAAGGATAATGAATAATTAAAAAGAACACCCATTGCTTTAAATAACAAAACACCTTTATTCTCCACATTCTTAGTGGATCTAGACCTTGTAACTAGTACGTAAGCAGACTTCAATGATATGCCCAAAACTCCAAGTAAATAGTAATGAAATGTAGCACCATCACACAACTTATCAAACTTTATGCTTTGCACCTTGAGGTGTCGATGTTATAAAAAATGTTAAGCAACAAAAGACACAAGCGTACAACATCAGGAATAGTTTAATAGTCACTTTTAGCGTTCCTTTAAGCTGAAAAAAGAAAACAAAAGCAAGGAGATGAAGATGATGAAAAAGGGGTAAGCATATGAGGAACTTATCCTGTCCTGACCAATCTATTTATTGTCAACGACCTCATTAATGATACGTCTAACCAAGTATCTATCTGGAATTCTGGATCATTAATTTATGGTGTTAAATACAAAAGCTAGAACAGTCGACAATAATGAAATTCTTAGCTTGGTAAACTTTTTTAACAATTAGATAGATTGGTAATGCAGAGAGTAAAATAAAGCCATAAGGAAAAGGATAATAACAATTCTTATTAAACAATTTTATGAATAGTACAGAGCAGTCTATATAACCAACAATCATTTGGCATCTATGTAAACCAGAAACAACATTGTTTTAATACTATTAGCAATAAAGAAATTATCTTGTCTTTGTCTCATATTTCAAAGTGGCTCTATATTTAAAGCTAAAAAATTATCAATTGGGTCCATGATAGATAGTAGCTAACAGATGTACTAAGGTAGTCTCATGCGTGACGAAATTAATGGATCATAAAGTGGCTTTGCTCTCTACTTTTAACATAAACCCATTCTTATCCATTCTCTGAATTTTATAACTTGATTTGATCATTAAAATGGCCAAAAGGACACAGTTACACTAAACAACCACAACTTTTAAGTAGAGTATATTACAAAAATATCAAGAATTGTCCCTTTCTAAAGTCTCTCTGCTCTTTAGAAGACCTCAGAACTTTCGTCTGATTTGGATCTTTAGAGCTTGATGCGCCTGAAGTAGCCATCATATCTTACCAAAATGTGTTTTGGCACTAAAGATGACCACACAAATCAAATGACAAGGTCATGCTCCGACCATCCTTCAGTAAGAAGCGAAGGTGTGCTTCCCAGAGAGCCACCTTGACTAAGAACTCAAATGGGGTAATCAAATAAATTATAGAGCTAATACTTGATTAAAAGATAACCAATTATTGAGGCTTAAGGATGAAGAAAAATGACCAAATGGAATAAAAACTAGGCCACAATTCCCAGCTAGTCGGGACAAAAACTTGATTGGGGTGAACACATGATTATTGTGTAGAAATTAATTATGTGCTCTCACTAGCTTCTCAAACAAAAGAAAGAAGAAATGAAGGGAAGTTGAATAGGCTACGTCAGTGGGGTGCAATAATGGGCATATATCAGGTACAAGTGACAGTACACAAATTGAGTTCCCCATCATGATGACCACGGCACCTGAAACTTTCAATAAACAATGGCTTTATGTTTGAGAAGTCTTGTGCTTGAGTTGATTGGTAGCCAATTGGCCATAGGATTGCACACGAAAGCCACGCGCAACTGTTAGCAGAATCCCACTTCAGAAACCTACCGTGCATTTGTGTTTTCTTTGTCTTCCATCTTTTGTACTTTCTTAGTTTCTTACCTTATTTAACAGATATAGCATTTTTTTTGGTATCAAAAGGGGCAGATGTTAAATCAAGTACCCCTCCGTGCAAGACCTGGGCCGTTAGTTGAGGGCAGTGTCCCAATTGGGAATTTTTGTATTCCCAAAACCCCTAGATTTCTATGAATTTTTATGAGTAAGATTAGCTATTTGAAGGGCATAAGGGGTAAATATGGGGAGATATGGCCATAATTGCGGAAAGATAGGTAAGATATGCTGACATGCACGGGCTTTTAAGTGGACAATATCTTTCAGTAGAATCAGTTGTACTATTTATACAGTGCATTCAAATTTCACTATTGCTAGGAATTTCCAACCTACCAAGCTTTTTCTTTTCTAAAGACGACAAGAACACATAAAGTACACTTTTTTCAGGTAGTCTTCTTTTCCATCCTATTTTTTAGAAAGATAGGCAATTCAAAAGTGTACCAAATGAGAGTACATCAAACACATTTTCTGTCAACGTCTGAAGCATAAATTTTCTACAAGGACGTAATTGACGATATGAAGGTATAAGCATTGTATCCCTCACCTTGCTTGAATAACAATACAATGAGTAACAACCATCCAAACAAGCTTGTTTGGATCCCCCACCTTACAGCTTGTTTGGATGGTTGTTACTTATTGTATTGTATTGTATTGTTATCCCAAAATAATGTTTGTTTTGATTGTTACATTAAAGTTGGTTGTATTGTATTGCTAAATTCATTGTTCCGGAACAACGAAAAGTCCCATTTTTTAAAACAATCGATTTGGTGTGGAGGGATTGTTTCCTATTTTTCTTTTAAATTATACCCTAACTTATTACTCCATAATTCTATTTTGCCCTTTACCTTCTTTTTTTTTTAATTTTAAACTCCAAATCTCTTACCTATAACCTACTTTGTATTCGTCCCTTTTTTTCCTGAACTTCTGCCGCTTCCTACTCCAACGTAAAATTGCTAATTTTGTTGCACTAACTTTATTAGAATTTGCATGAATTGCTTAATCTATTTATAAGGCATATTTGGTGATAAATTAGTAGAAACGTGTTTTCTTAAATTATTTTATGCGTAATTCTTGATAAAGTAATATTTAAACAATTGAGGATATTCTAGTAAACTTATCAATTACAGTACAATACGATACAGTCAAACCAAACAGCAAAATATTATTTAACAACAGCAAACAATACAATCTATCCAAACATTATCTTTATAAAACGATACAATAGGAGTAATATAATACAACAAAATACAATACATTATAAAATGATGGGTAACAACCCTCCGAACAAGCTGTTAGTTATATCAAAGGAATTAGAGAAATTATTGTTGTCCTTGAATATTGGAAAATTTAACCAATTTAGAGTGCTATTTTAGTACTATAAGACAATGAAAGGAGAGGGGAAACAAGAGTACCAGAGAGTTAAGGGGGGAGTACTACTTGAACTTGATGGCTAAATAAACAAGTACAAGGTCCGGGTTCAAGCAGAGTTCTAAATACACAGGGAATTCAAATATACCCGTATCAATACAATTATGCTCAACAATTATTTTTATATTGGTCTATATCAATCACTTGAACATAGAAGTGGTCATAGAGGAAAAGGCCTTCGTTTCAAAGCTAAAGTATAAAGTGCAGAGGGCAAAGAAATGCAACAAAGGCAAAACAATTTGAAGACAGGAAAAGAAATAGGAGTCAATATTTGGGTAATTATATTGTTGACCATTGAGTCCACTCAAACAGACCCACCTGAAAGGGGGAAGAGCATTATCCCTAAGGACTGAGGAGGTTCTAGTTTTGGATGCATTACAAATCCATTTTTCATAGTGGAAGACTGGATTTCAAAGCCAATCCATATCTTACCACCTCTTCCTTCCACCACCAACCGAAAGGCATGACTTTAACCGCACAAGTAAATCAAAATTGTGGTTAATATGAGACCTAATTTTGGTATATTACACTACACTGTGTTCAGCTGAGCAAAATTTTTTACCTCTAAGAAACAGAAGCCAGAGGAAAATGCAGTTACCAATTGCTGCAAAATCAGAAAGGCAAGTTCTTGTTGAGATCATAAATAACTCTACAAGAAATTTGGAGCAAAGCATTACATCACCCTCGAATTTAATAAGCTTTAGTTATGGTTATTTATCTTTTCCGTGAAACTTATTAATCGTACTCTTACTGGTCATTAGATAAGCTCAATATGTTTCTTCAAATTCGTCAATCCTGACCAAGAGTTTCTTAAGAGTAGAATGATGCACGAAGCAATAGGAGTCTCTAGTTATTTTAAACAAATCAAGCAGCTAGATACTGTCAAATCTGATTTCATGAATGCTTTGAACCTATGTTGCTCGGACTCTCCAAAATACTGGCACACCTGTGTCAGATCCTCCGAAAATACTCTACTTTTGGAGGATCCAACACGCAACCGACAATATTTGTGAAGAGTCCGAGTAATATAGCTTTGAACTGTTATATCTTGATAATAAGTTTATTTTCCTATATTACAAAACAATGGAAGATTCTCTTTCGATTAGTGAATTTAGATCTACTTGGATTAGATGTCATACCATTAGGTTGGATATCCAATCACATTTGTTGCACCTCACTCCATCTTTACCACATATAATAAAGGAAGAGGATATAACTAACTCTGCAGAAAATTACCAATCACTGATGACAATGTAGTGTTTTACTGCGACTAAGGCAACATATGATGCACCTCATATTCACCCCTAAATTCCCCCAAGTGATTGTAGACCTCAGTCCTGTTATGTATAGGAGGAGCTATGCACCATATTATGTTCCATTTTTAAATCATGTTGTGGTTGTTGAGTCATCAACTTATTAAGTGTATGATCTTTCCACTTATAGAATATGGCTTGCTTTCCAAAACCTCATTTTCCTATTTTTTACATCATCGGCCATTGTTCTCACAAACCATCATAGAGTGGAAAAATCATGGGTTCGATTGGCCTTGCAATAATGCTGAGTTGGTTTGCCTGGAGGACCCTTCATGCCGGGTATGTGTCCATGTAGCAGATTAAGTAAAACATATATGTTCATATGACCGTCAGATATTAGCATATGCAGTGTTTCAGGATTATATTCTGATGATTTCATTTTCAAGGAACTTTACTGTACCTAATTGATAGAATATGGGACCATCTAACTTTTCCCAATCCTATAAGAACTCCCCCTCCTGCTCACGTTACCATTCGCCCTTCAAACTTCAAAACCAACTTCTTTTGCTTGACCCTCCATTAAGATCTTCTTCCAAATAAACTCATATACTTTTAAGCCATGCAACCCACTGACGTCACAGACTTCTATTGCCTACTTCCTTCAAACTCAACTCAATACCCATCCCAATCCTGCACTAACTACAACGCATCCACATTTCAGCTTAACAGGCTCTTGAACCCTTTGTATCATCTTCAGATCACACCTCAAGTTCAAGAGTTCAATCCACAACTAACATGCTTCAACAGTAACTCTACATCAGACGAAGCTGATGAGCAACAGTTGAATCTAATAAATGAACGGAAACAGAGAAGAATGATATCTAATAGAGAGTCCGCACGGAGATCACGCATGCGCAAGCAGAGGCACCTAGACGAGCTTTGGGCACAGGTTGTCTGGCTCCGAAATGAGAATCACCAGCTCCTGGACAAACTAAATCATGCTTCTGAGCGCCAGGATCAAGTACTTGAAGAAAATGCTCAACTCAAGAAAGAAGCTTCAGAACTTCGCCAAATGATCACTGACATGCAGCTTAGCAGTCCTTGTCCTAGCTTAAGGGCTCTTGAGGATGAACCTTGCAGTGGTTTATCTCAAAATGAATAAAAATTCAGACTACTCTGGAAGTTATGCTGGTTCGGATAAGGCCATGTTTTCCTTTTCCTTGTTGTTAAGATGGTGGCCAGAATTTGAGTTTTCCCTTTATCTCTTTTGTTCACGAGATGAAGGCTATGAGTTTAGTTTTTACTTTATCTCCCTTCTTCTTGTGCTGGTATGCTATTCAATAAAAAATTCCCTTCTTTTGTGCTGTTCATTATGCTAGCTTCTTTATACATACGTTAATAGATAAAGAAGAAAAATCCATTTTGATAAAGAACAAAAGGTAAAATACCATGAGATAGCAACTGACCTGTGCAAGTATACCGGATGGAATAATAAGATAAAAAATGAGAAGATAAAAACAAGAGGACAATTTCACTAAAGAAGCTTTGTCCATGGAAATTAGCCAACAACAGCAGCAGAACTTTTCCGAAAGTTGCATGTCAAAGATAGTTAAACAGGACGACAGGGGAGAAAGGATTGTGCCTGACAGGTTTGTTTATGGAAAGCATAGCCACAACGGGAGAAACATGTCAAAAGCCATCCACTGATTCCAGGATCCACTGTTCCAAGCTTTAATTGTTATCTTCGGAGTGTTAGACTTTATTATGTCATTTTATCACAACCTATTCACATAGAAGCACCAACAGTAACTGTGACTTAATCCTACTTCCTTCTGCTACAGGCTGAAGAAGAGAAAATTCTGCAGCTGACATCACCACTCACCAGTTACCAGTAACTCTAATCAACAAGCTCCCACAACAGTGTGAACTCCTATTTTACTACTATTTCTTATTCTGTTTTTTCTTCTGTTTTTATACTGTAAGTATGACCTTCCTTTTGAGTTGTTTATGCTGATTCCTCCACTCAATTGAACCTTAACTTTTGAACAATGTATATATATCATACTTAACGATACACCTGCTAGGTATATCACGATTCAAGTGTCAAAACCTTTTCTAATTGCCTATTTCTTCTCCTGAAGACCTTCTTGATAATGTTATAACTAATTCACAGGTAGACCAGCTAGCTATATCATTAAGTAGCAGCTGAATTCTTAGGCAACTCCATCTCTTTCTCTTGAGGTTCTCTTGCTAATAAACCATATTAACGTCTTAGTGATTCAGCACCACCACTGCAGAAAGCCAAAGTTTCCTAATTTTCTCCAATAATATGTTTCCAACAATCCAAAGTTTGTCTATGCATGAGGACAGCAAATAAATAACGACGTCCAATCTTCCCCAGTAAATGCTCTTCTTTATAGTCTCACCGTTCTTGTGAATAATATTCACAGTTCAATCTTGCCTAGAATTTAAATAATGTTTCAATAGGAATGCCATACGTGAGAAGGTATAACCAGGTTTCCCTCTCTACCCGTGCTGTTAGATCCTAGGGAGCTCAACTTAATTAGTTTAATCTCAATTGTCACTGTTCTTTGAAAGAAAGAAAAATCTGAGGATCAGGAAGGTAGGATCTGTTTAAATTATAGAATCATTTTGTTTTTCTGCTGGAAGGGTCATCTTCTATAAGCAAGGTCACAGCCATAACGACCTATAAAAATTCATTTGCAATTCTCAATAGGCTTGCAGGGCAACGGAACTACGTGTTGTAGATATTTGTAAAAAAAGCAAAATAAGTATCCTTATCTAATATAGGCATGATCTATAACCAATATTGGAAGTTTGAACTTATGTAAACGATCAACTTCATAATGCAATAAGCTATAAAATCCAAATTACTAAATAATTGTTTCTGGATCAAATCTAAATTACTAGTCTTTCACGCGGATACTGCAAGTATTTAGCTTTGTCACTTCATGAAACACCAACAAAATGTAAATAATTACTGCAAGTTATACTACAGTTAGAAGATAAATCGGCATAGCTAGCACGTAAGAACAGTTGGAATATGTGTTCAATAATCAATACTAATCGCCTAAGGTTTTCATGTTTATACGTGTTCAATGAAAAGATCATATGATAGTTGCGCATTTGAAACTTCAGAAGATGTATCTATAGCAATGTACAAATAATCGGGAATTACCTGTGTTCCGAGAATCAGAATCTGGTTTTGATCATACTGCAGTGGAACCGAAAGTGAAATGTTGATCAGACGAAATTGTTTCATACCAGCTTGAGATTATGAAATCTCCCGGTTCAATAGTGGATCCAGAAAAGCGGGGGCAGAATATCCCGCCCTGCGGATTTGAACTTTTGGCCATAGATTCCAAATGGAAATTTTTTCCTTCCTATATCACATATGAAACTTTATTTCCAAATATGTGCATATTTTCTAATTTACCCGTCCTGTCCACATTTTTTCTACAATTTTTATACCATTCATTAATTACTAATTATTAGTAGTTAAATCTTCCTAAATAGGCGCGCTACAAATAAGGAAACAAAATATTCTAATGGCGTAATACATCTGGAGACACTTAAAGTTGGCACCATCTTTCATTTAGACACCTAAACTGAAGGTTGTTCCTATTGAGCACTTATACTATACTAAACTTGTTCCAATTAGACACTTTTTTGACAATTAGCCAAACTTACCAGGTGTGTGCAATGCACTCGCGGCTGACGCGGCGAATGACAATAAAAAAAGAGCATATACCCAATCAGAAAATGACATTCTCAAAAAGAAAAAAAAAAACTTTCATTTATACCCAATCAGAAAATGACACATTATTAACAAAAGAAAAGAAAAAAAGGGCACATTGGTGTTCTTGGTGTTCTTCACTATCTTTATGTCTATTATTGTTCCAACCACGATTTTAATCCAAAATTTTAAGAGAAACTTCTCCAAATTTGTTATAACTTCAACTAAATAATCTCTACAAAGACTTGAAGACAACCCCAATATTAATTTCTCAATTTTTCATCAAATCGAGTAACCCATTTAAACTTTCAAGCTTTCTTAAAGACCCCGTTAATGGTGTTTTGACTTCAAATGAAGAATATGGTCCTACTTCGGTTTCAATCAACTGAGATGGATGTTGGTTCAAACTTTCGAGCTAAATTAATGGTGGAGGCACAACAATGATGAAAGTGGGGGATACAATGGTGGAGAGAAAAGAAGAAGAAAGAAAAAGAAAAAAATGAAGATAAAATCTGTTTTTTGGGCTCTTCACGCGTCTATTTTGGGTGAAGCTCACTTTATGTGCCAACTCAGCAAAAAGTGTCTAATTGGAACAAGTTTAGTGTAGTATAAGTACTCAATAGGAACAACCTTCAGTTTAGGTGTCTAAATGAAAGATGGTGCCAACTTTAAGTGTCTCCAGATGTATTACGCCTATTCTAATTGATTTTACACAAAAGCCTATATTCTGTTCATGAAATTCTCCGTTTTTGCCTCCTCGTTTTTTGTTCTTTTACTTTTTTTCTTGTTTACCTTCTTTTGGAAAATTCAGTTCTTCTTTCTTTCTTTTTCCAGTTTAATTTTCTCTTAAAAAAAAATTATTCCACCCATTTTAATTATTTTAATTTAAACATAGAAAGTAACAATTAAACTAACCTTAAAAAAAATTGAATGGGGAAAATCTGAGTATAAAAAATGGGTCTCATCTCTGTAATTTTTTGAGAAGAAGAAGGAATGGAGAAAATGAAGAAAGGGGAGGGGAAAAACTACAAAATTACAAAATACAAATCAGTTTAAGGGGAGGGGGAAAACTACAAATCAGTTTAAATATGTATAAAGTAGTATTGTTTTTAAGGGTATCTACAAAATTACTACATTTATACTACAATTACACTACAATCTATGTTGAAAAAAAATGTTGACTACAAAATTTTCTCTTTATCTACAAAATTTCTACAAAAAAACTACAAATCAGTTTAAGTATTGTATAAAGTTGTATTGTTTTTAAGGGTATCTATAAAATTACTACATTTATACTACAATTAAACTATAATCTATGTTGAAGAAAATGTTGACTACAAATTTTCTCTTCATCTACAAAATTTCTACAAATAAACTACAAATCAGTTTAAGTATTGTATAAAGTTGTATTGTTTTTAAGGGTATCTACAAAATTACTACATTTATACTAGAATTAAACTACAATCTTATGTTGAAAAAAAAAAATGTTGACTACAAAATTTGCTCTTCATCTACAAAATTTCTACAAAAAACTACAAATAAACTACAATTGCACCCACGCTGTCACACTTATATTGGGTCAGATGTTTGTTAACCAAGTTTTTTTCTAGTTTGGTCAAGAACTTGTGTGTCAATGCCGGATAAGTGTGACACTTGAAGAATCTCTACCTTTAAAGAACCTCTAAATTGCCTAAAAAGACAATTTATTTAATTTTGAAATAATATAGACAAAATGGAGCTGGAGGTTACAGAAGATTCATATGGCTACCCCACAAATTTAGGATTGAGAATTGTTGATTGATCGATTGAGGAAGTCTTATGTGTCATACATCTACTCTCGATCTCGTAGTTGTTAAAATACAGAACAATATCTGACAATTACCAGATTTTACAATAATCGAAACAATGGGTTTCATATTGAATCTCTTTGGCTAAAATTTTGATTATAAAAAATGGGTCTCATCTCTGTATTTTTTGAGAAGAAGAAGGAATGGAGAAGAGAAAGAAATGGGAGGGGGAAAACGTCGCTTGTCAGATCTTAGGAATTAAGGGGAGAGAGAAACGTGGGATATATGGACACCTTTAATTAAGGAGTAAAAAACTGCCAATTAATTATACCTCTAAATTAATTATGGTATATAATTGGTAATTTGGTATACTAAGTGTAATTAAGTCAAACCTTAAACATTGAGGGTAATAAGGTTTCCTATGTGGCATAGGAATGTAAAAATTCCATCCGGAATTTATTTTGAAAAATCTGATTTGGGCGAAGTTTGTTTTGAAGATGAAAATGTGTTTGGACATATGTTTTCAAAACATATTTTCTAACTTTATTTCGGAAAAACATGTATATAATTCCCAAGTTTTGGGATTATGGCCGAAAATCAGCTCAATAGCTGATTTTGGGATTTGGGATTTGGCCAAAATATGGGCAAAATTTATGGCCAAACATAAGTTTTTGAAAATAAATCCCAAATTTATTTTGGCAAAACTCATGGCCAAACGGGCCTCAGAAAACACAAAAAACTCAGAATTTTTGTCTTAATTAGCGTAAAATCCCCGTAAAATCTACTCCACTTTACACTGGATGGGTCGATCCCATTAAGGCTTTTT